ATCACAGAAATAATTCTTCTGATGAGGCTAGGCTGTTTTCCCATGTGTCTTTGTTTCAAGTGATTTATGAATGTCACCAGAGTAGTCTAACCCCTGCCACAGTTCTCCTCTTTACACGGCGTTAGAAATTGGATGATGGCTATGTTGTCCTTACTAGCCTTTTTTTTGTACTGACGTAAAAGAGAATCTCTGTAAGCCACCACCAGGTGAACCATGACTGAAGTTGTGAGTAATTTTCTGCTCTCAGGAAAGTAGACCTGAGTTCTGTGATGTCTGGATCAGAGAGATTACTTTTCATAAAGGGCTCTAGAAATACATTTATTATTTTTTTGGTACCTTGCAGCCCAAGCAACATGGGGGTCACTAAGTCCTACAAGTTAAGGAGAGAGCAGGTTGGTTTGGATCTGGGGTCTGCCCAGGAATTCCACCGAGTCATGGAGATGTAGGGGGGGAAAGATAAAACTTCACATCAGCACTGAATGAGTGCTATAGCGGACTGTAAGCCACCATGCTGTTTCACAGTGTAATGCTTTTGAATGAGCCTTCACATGGGTTCTTCTTTTTAAAACCTGAACTGTTACCAAATTTTTTCTCAAGGTAAGAATGGTGAGGCCTCAGTGGAAGAAGGTGGAGTATTTCACATTGAAACAGTTGACAGCCTGCAGTTCTTGTTTGTCCTATTAAGCTCACATTTTGCTATTTCTATTTCATGCTAAAACTGGATTTAGGATTATGTCCCACAGCTGAGGCTTTCTGGGCCCTCCGAATTGCAGAGAAGACCTGAAGAGCCTTGGAAGGAGATGAGTTCTGCCAGAAAATCTTCACAACATCTCTCCATTATCCATGCTTTCTCCTCTCTCACCTCCCAAAAACCAAGTTTATTTGAACTCTTGTAATCAGATCTGTCTCGGAGAACAGCCAAAGTGTCAAGGTTTCAAAGGGAAATTCATAAAAGTCAAGAGCAAGTAGAGACTTAAAGGGGCAAAAGGGAAGTCGAAAAAAAAGAAAAGCTGGTCTTTATCATGGTAATAGTAATGAAGCCAAGCTGAAAAAGCCCAGACGGGGCTGAGTTACTGTACTGTAAACTGCTTCCCGCCGCTGGGCTTCACTCGGCAGCATCCCCGAACGGATTAGGGAACCACGGAGCCTCTCTGGTTACCAAGCCTTGGGACTTCTGTCACTGGGGCATTTCTAGTTCTCACTCTGAGTACTGATGAAGCAGGAAAGACTAAAGAAGTAAACCGATTACTGCTTGCAGGTGGGGAGCGTTTGGGTGGGGAAAATAATATTTCTCTTGCTGGAGAGCCTCACCGCAGGGGGCTGAGTACCCTCACAGCCTGATGGCTTCTGTGCCAGCTGGGCGCTCAGCAGCCTGTAGGAGGTAGCACTCAGGTTTCCCTTCCTGGCCCTCTTTCTCCAAGTCTACAATCCGACTTTGTGCTTGGGAACATGCTGGAGATGAGCGTGGGTGCTGATCCAGAAGCAGTCGGTGGAAAATGATTTCTTAGCCCGGGCCCTAGCAGCACAGGAGACCCCATCCCTGTGAAGCTGCCGTGCAATTTCCCTGCCTCTGTGCATGCATATCCCCCCTGGGGCATCCAGTCCTTCACGGGTGCAATCAAGCTTCTAATCAATTAGGCAAATTGACTGCTGGGGTGAGCTATTTCCTACTCCTGGTAACAAAACTGGGTTAACTCCGTATTTCCCAGGAGCTCCGGTCCTTCCCACCTTAGTTTTTTTTCAGAGGCTTGAAGGACTAAATTATGAAAAAGCAGAGTAAATGTGGACATGCTCTGTTACTGCAGAAAGCAAAATAATTTAGCTAAATGTGGAAGGATTTTGGTGACCCTTTAAAAAAGTATATTAATTTGGATTCAAAGGGACAAATATTCCAGTTAAGCAGGTATGGGAGCACTTGCTCTTTAAATCCCAGTCAACCAAAGACAGAGTGCACATGAGCAGACTCACAATTACTCACACTGATACTCATGCTGTATGTATTTAAATTTGTAGGTGCCACAAGCGGATATGACATGCCACTTAACAAATACAACTTCAAAAGTCCTTAGGACAGAAGTTCCAGATGAAAGTTAAGCTGCACTTTCCCTCTCTGTTGTTCTTCATAGCAGGGATTTATTTTTACTAGGCTCTGCAAGGAGCTCTGCATAAACATGTCACTGAAGTCCCAAAGACTACACATAGGTGCAGGCATATTGGAGATGAGGGCTGCATGATGTTACATCTGTTTTCCTTAAATATTATTTTACATATACCAGACTATTGGTTTCACAAATCATTTCCAAAGATGTTGCCAGGATACACTGTTCTGTCTGACTTCATTTGCTGTTTCGGGAGTTTTTTCACTACAACTTCTTGCCTGGTGTTACATATGGGACAGAAAAGACATCCCCCACAGTGCTGGAATCAGTTGCTTTCAGCGTGTAGCTGAGCAGCCCACCAAGCATATGCCCCTGCTGTTGTTTCTGTACAGTCCTACCAGTTGCTTTAGCCTCACTCTACTGGAACACAGAATGCTGAAGGTGTTGTATAATGAGTCACCCACACCAATATTTTATAAATTGAAAGTGGACCCTGCAATAAGAATGATTCCTGAAATCTTCTGAAGCCAGCTTCATAGCCTTAGCTTACAGTTGGTCCTCAAGTCACTGAAAAATTTTAGACATCAGATAACTCTTATAGAAATAGAATAACTTTGTTGGGTGTTTTTTGCTAGATTTGCTTCCTGCGTGAGGCAAGAAAGCCACTGAATTTCCAGAAGAACCAAATAAAGAACTCGATGAATTTACCATCATACATGTATAAAAATTAAAGATTGCTGAGATTAAAATTTGGTACTCAAAGTCGTTAGTGTCAATTTGTCTATTCATTGTAAATTACATGTAAATATGCATTCCATAGATGAGGGATATGGTCACACAATAAAATAATGAAAAGCAGAGAGTGTTAGTGACAAGTCATATATATAATACAAAAATTGTATTTTATAAAGAATATTACATCCTCTACAGCTATTCCAGTATGGTAGAAAACTATGAATAAACCAAAAGTTTAATACTTTGGGCTTGCTTGTTTGTTTGTTGTTTTGTTGGTTTGGTTTGGGTTTTGGATTTATTTTGGTTTGGTTTGGTGTGGTTTTTTGTTGTTTTTTTTTTGTTATCACATTTCTGAGTTTAATGCAAGGCTTCATGAAATGAGTTAAAGGCAAAGGAATTTCAGGATGTCATTAGATGTCAAGTGTTATACAATATTATGCAATGTTTACCTCCTAGTTGATTCAAATATGAAAATTTCTTTAAGTAAGCTCATTTTATAATAATCACAGTTTATAATAATTACACTGTCTAATTTTTTTTTTTTTTACTTACAGTACAGAACCTCTAAAAAGAGTATGAAATATTCCCAACATGACAGGCACTTTTTTTATTTGCACCATATGTATGATCTTGAATATCGGTATGGAGTCGGAGGGTGGGTGTCTAAAGTAAAATTAACTTTCCAGTGAAAGCTTGTAGCAGGCAAATGAGTGATATGTACCAGAGGCACAGAGCTCACACAAGAAAACCTTTTAAAGCACTCTGCAGTTTGGTATAACTGGCATAAAGTCGAGTTCAGGATTGAGGTAGCAGAAATCTGGTAATCTCAAGTGCTAGTTTGTGGGCAGACACGGACTGTAGCATGAATGTCATCTAGCACTTTTAACTTCTTGTTCTCATGAGAGCTAAAACTAACCAGAATTTTTATTTTAAAGGTTTTTTTAAAAATTATGTCTCTGGTAGATAAATGGCAAATCTGCCCAGAAGACTGAAGGAGCAGAAGTTCACATCTTCTGTTTTCAACCTCTCCCTGTTCTGCATGAGGTTTTATTTAAATAAAATGAATTCAAAGAAATTAGCTGCAATAGTTCTTGGATGTACATTTCATGTTTTTGTTACCCTACAGCTTATAAGTGTTTATTAACCATAAAAAGGAAAGACTGATTTTTTTTCCTAGATCTTCTGGGCTTTAAAAATGGAGTTTAATATCTATTTATATTTAATATCTACAAATAAGCCTTTCAAGCAAATGCCATGAGGATGTTTGTAGAACACCAGTTTGCAGGTATAACTCCAGAAGTATAGTAAGATCAGGAGTAAGCTTTTAGTTTTATAGTACACCATAAAAGGGAATTCTGAATATTTACTATTAATAAGATACATGAAAGCCAAAGTGAAAATCTGAGAGTAAAGACCCGTTTTGTTTGAAATTAATTTCTGATTCCTTTGATATATGAATGACAAACATTTGGCTAAAATAAGAACCATTATTGCAAGAAATAGAATAAAATTAAGTAAGAAAGAAATATTTCCCTCACTTAGCTAATATTTTACTGAAAAGTCTCAAAACCAGCAAAACCCATGAATGGATTATAATAATCTCAGACTGTGGGACATTCTCTCTGAATTCAGGGATGTACAGTTCTTCTTAAGAAGCAAAACTTTTTAATACTGTTCTTTCACAGGCTTCTTTTGCATGATCCCTCTAATTACTTCCTTGTACAGTGTATTTAACAAGCAGTGTAACTGTTACTCTGGTAGAGGAAACACACATAAAATAATAGTTAATTTTGACAGCATTTTTCTTACTTGTTTTTAAGTACCTACTTTAAACATCTAATCTTCTCCCTATCTCAGCTGTCCTCTGTCACTCATGAAGAAGCAGAATTTCACCAAATTTGAGTTAGCCATGAACCTCACTCCCCATGCTAACTGGCAGAAATACACTTTCTTATTCTTTCAAAAATTCAGTCTAAAACTGTTGTCAAGGCTCAAAGGTAATAAATAGTTCTAGTTACTAACAGAAGTGATCAAAAGCTTGAAAGATGCATTAGTTTCTGAGCATCGTCATATTTGATGGCTTTTAGCTGTATTCAGTATTCTGCTGTGAGGGTACAGAATGGTTTTTTGTTACTTAAAATAATTTTGTGTTTCTTTTATTCCAAGGTGGATTATTTATTTCCAAGAGAACATCATAAATCACCAGGTGTCACTGAGAAAGTGATGGAGAATACACAATTCCAGTTTTGGACAGAAAGAATCTGTCCAACACTGCAAGAGATCTTTCAAAGCATGCAAAGTTTTCTATGAATTGAGAAATGAAGACAATGGGGTCACAGAAACGTGAGTATATTTTCTCTGCATAATGATTGGAATCAGCATATTTCCTAGATCGCAGTCACTCTTGCAGGAAGTTCTATTTAACTTTATTTCTACAAGAGTAATAGTAGTTCCTGTGAGTAAAATGCCTATGTTCTTTCATTCTCTGACTGAAAGCAGAAACCTGATTTATAATAAACAGTAAGGTCTCCAAAGCCTTTTTCTTTTTGTAACTGTGATTCAGAACAATGCAGTTCTGAAAGTAATCACACATTCAAATACAAGTAGGTGTGAGCTTTCAAATATACTGAAAGTGAATATTCAGAACATCACATCCTGGTGTTTGCTTCTGATGTTAAAAACCTGCTGTGCCAACCAGGATGCATGTTTTCAAAAGTCTATAACTGTGTTATTTTGAAGCCAGATTTCTTCAAACAGAACAAGGCACATATTTACCTTCCAGGGATTTGTGCCATTTGTGCCAACTTTGGCACCTTTAAAAGAAACTGATTTTGAGTTTCCTTGAATGCAGAAGTACATGCAAATAAAATTTTCACAGCTCATTTTTAGATAAATTTAGGTATTCTGAGTAACATTTTACTAATGGTTTCTTTTCAGTTGAGGACAGAAAGGTTTGATATAGTCCTACCAGAGAAGAGATGTTCCAAATAAATGAAGAGACAGAAATTAATTTATTACTATAGAAAATGTATATCTAACCTAATTATTTTGCAAATATAGCACTATGCCATAAACATTTAAATTAGGTCTATGAAATTAATTGTTTATAGCAAGCCTTTTCAGAGGAGTTTTTCTTGTATCTTGCAGTCCAGGGCATCAGAAATCCAGTGCCAGAGCAGTAGCCCCACAAGAAATAAATCCTGCGCTTCTGACTCTTCAAGACATGTCTCTGAAGCATCTAGTGCTGGTACGTTGCTCCTCACTTATTCTACAACATCAGTTCCATAAATCTGTTGTACCAACTTGGGAGGCTTTGTCTAATTTGAAGGCAGGTCTGGGTTTCATTTTGCACTCAATTCTGAAGGCAGCAACACAGAGAGACTTCAACTCTACTGCTCTAATAGGCATGCATATGTTGTTATTAATACTTTCCCCCTAAAATATAGTGTTAGGAACTTTAAAAGTACAGTTTTTAGGGATCTGAAAGAGTAGATCTAATGAAAAATGAGAATGCCTGAATTTTAAAACACATTCTCCTTCCTAAAAAAAGAAAAGTAAAATTTAGTACCACCCAAAGAGGAAATCTCAAGATTTCTGGCAATAGAAAAGCTGCATTTTGACTTGAAAACTAAAAAAAGTCCCTCGACTAAAATACTGATGTTCTTGGCTCAGTTTTCATTATTTGCATTCCTTGTAAGGACACCAAGTGTTCTGGGTCAGCTTAGTGTTAACCTGTATTCTTCTGACACAGGGGTGCTGTAACTCACATGGAAAGAGAAGCATGGACTACCTCTGTCAGGGTCCCACATCAACCCAGCCTCCTGAGCTACACTCACTCATGAATTCTCCAGTCACCAGAGGAGAGACTTCCTTGCATCACACGTAAATACAGTATGTGCGGTCCAGCCAAGGGAGCCCCATTAGAAATAAGCCACCATCCTTCTGTGGAATCTGGCTCAAAGGTGACCAGGTGTTGTACTTGGCTCCAAATATTTAGACTCTTTTAACAAACGGTACTATTTGGACTCAGATTTGACTTAAAACCATATAATTTTTGCATCAGTTTTTCCAGTTGAAATTATACATGTTCTATGAAAATGCTTTCTTCTGTAAATACTGCATTTTTCTCCCTCCTTAAGTAGCAAAGTACTAAAGTATTTTTCAAGAAGCTGATATAACTACAGTGATGATATATCTCTCATTAAGAACTGATACTATTAATTTACATGGCTTCATTTTTCTGTGTAATGGTGAACATTTGTTTGGGTTTTTTTAACTCTAAGTAGCTAAATAAAGACTTACTCCTTGGACTAATGCAGATAAAGAAGCAGTCTCTTAATCTGGAAAGGAATTACTAGAATGTAGAAGCAAGAAATTACCTTTGTATAATTTCTCAAAAAGCTACATAGGTACAGATTATCTGTAAATACTTGGAAGTTTTGGTATTAACAACCATTCTGGTGCTGCATGAAGACAAGAATTTTTGCCACTGTTTTTCTTCCTCTTCTATAACAAATCTGTGAAGTAATTTTTCAGAATGGTTGGTATTACTGCAACTCAAAGCTTAAAGATACTATAATGAAACTTGAATTTCTCCATTTGTGCTAATACACTTACAGTAGTGAAAACCACAACCAGCAATTTTTGCTTTATTTTGTACTACAATTAAGTTGGATGAAAATGTTTTCCAATGTAAGACCTTCCAAGTGCCACTATGTACAAGTAACTAAACTGAATATGAATCAATAAATTGATCTTCCCAGGAAACAGTATAATAAGTGTATTCAGAAGTCTGTTCATATTCTTGGTTTTTGAAGAAAATTAGTTTTCAGTTTTGTTTTATGGAAGTCTTCATATCTCACACTCTCAGTAACTGCTCAGAGAACTAAAGACACCACAGATTAACGTAGCAGAGACAAGACCCTCAGCTGTATGAGAGAACACAATTCTTGCAATGGAAGAGGTGTGAACACTTTAAAGAATCACAGATGGTCAGTGAAGAAGAAAAAACCTCTCATAGATGGATCACTAACTATTTTAAACTAGAAATATTGACTGAAAGCTTGGAGTTTCAACAAAATGAGAAACTTAATCATTCACAATGCAGAAAGAAATATGTAAACATCAGAAAGTTGTGCAAGATAAAACACCCAAATTTTATATATGTAAAAATTGGTTCCCTGGCTCTTTAGAACATGAAAGGGACAGGCAAAATATTTTTCCTGTCACAACTGAAAATTGCAAGACAAATGTATCCAGATATGTAAACTGCTTTCCTAATCCATGAGAACTGACTGGCCAACTCTTTGTTTGTTTACACATGGGTGAAGTCAAAGTGCCAGCAACTTACCCACAACTAGTGGAAGAAATACCCTAAGGAAGTTATTCCAAGACCATGTATTAGGGGCCACTGCTAAGTAAGCAAGCTTTTGGAGGGTATTTATCACACTGCAACCATGCAGAAGAGATTGGTTTTAAGGCTTGAACACCCTATTTACTAGCAGGGACAGGGATGAATATGTAACTTCGTTGCAGAAAAAGGAATCTAGAGAACAAGTTTGTTTCTTACTTCCAGAACTGGCTGCTGGTTTTGTATATCTTACACAGAACACAACATGCCTTAAAACAGAGCAACTGAAATGGTAAATGTGTGAAAAGTAAAGTGAGCGATGAGACTTCACAAAAAGGAAAAAAGGAAACTGGTCAGCCTGCTTTGCAAGAACATGACTATTCCAATAAGCAATTCATGTTCCCAAGAGGAATCTTCCTGAATTTGATACTGTTCTTTTTTTTTCCAGACTCAATCAATAAATTGATGTTTAATCCATTTTTATAACTGAAAATTCAGAGTTTAACCCCATTCACACCAAGATAGCTTCATTTCCAGCTACCAATTTCAGAGTTCCAAGTACAGCAGATAAAGAACTGAAAAAAAAGTTCATCTATGACCAGTGAAGAAAGTTTTCCAACCTTCACTAACCTCTTAAAATAAACTTAAAAAAGAAACCAAAAGTTTTAGCAAAATAAAGTGTCCTGTTTCTTTGCCTTATTCTCCAGGCAATAAGCCAGGGGATAAAAGTGCTATTTACAACAGACATGCAAACTTACAAAAGAAATTAGTAAAGACACATTTTGTTGAAGGCACCTAAAATCCAGAACAAAGGTTTTAAGATTTTTAAATGGTGTATTTCTGCACTTAACTGGTAATAAAACTGGCTACTAATTGTTAGGCCCAAGAATTATATGAGAGGGACCATTAACATGTTGTTCTGTTTTTGAAGTATCTGTCTGCATTAACATAGGGCATTGTAGTGCAGATTACATTGAAATGCTGACTACTCTGCTGTAATATTGCTAGGAGGAAAACATTCAGTCCTACAGCAAAGAACTGATATTAGTTAACTTAGAAAAGATAAGTATTGCTCTGTTTCTGATATTTTAGATGGTCTAGTGGATAACTGAAGATATATATTAATTTCCCATGACAATTTGGCATCCTTCTTTCCACAGATAAATGGTTTACACTAGGAGTTGTTAACCTAAAACAAAGCAGTTACGTATACAAACAATACAAAAGCTGTGACATTAATGCCAACTTCTTCCTGCTAAGTCTTTCAGGATATGTTACAAATTTAAGTTTTAGATTTAGAGAAAAATCAAATCACTTGTAGGTCAGATTAGTTTTCTTTGCAGCAGTCAGCCCTGCCTAAGAGAAGCCAGTACTTCTGAGCTGCTAAAAAATACGTTTAGATCAATGTGTCAAGATCAACAAAGTCAGCATCTTCTATAGCCTTGCCATATTAGATTTTCTGCTTTACATTTTCATAACTAATACTTTTTAAACAAAGTGCCAAATGAAGAGAGAAATAGGGAAAAAAAGATAGTCACAATCAGAGCAAAAGAAGTACGTTTGTTTGCATATGCTAATCAGTTTCCTCTGTGCGTTTTAGTTTTCCCCTTCGTAGGTGCAGACTGAGAGTGGATAGGAATAACGAACAACTAACCCAACAGCTATGCTTCTTCTACTATCTCTGCTTCCTTTTTGTTCTCTCATCCAAACAAAGAAGTTTCTCCTACTGGACTTCTCCTCCTTACCAGATCTGTCTCCTTTCTGCTCCCATTCCCCCCACTGCCCCATGGCCCCTTCCCCCACTGCCTTGCCTGTCTCCTGCCTGTTCCCACTGATTTTCCATTCTCCCTCCCGTCAGTCCTGGCTCTTTGTTCCCACAGGGCTCTGCAGATGTGCAGCAGGAGTTCAACTGTCTCTTTTTAATTTTTTTTCCACTTTTTCTCAGGGAGAAAACATGAAACATTTGAAATCCCATTGACAGCAGACAAGAAGATAGAGCAAAGAAGGAACCTGTGAAGGAAAGTGAAGAGAAATTAAACTAAATGGTCAATTTGGGGTGAAGTTGCCTCATGAGGTTTTCAGAGAGCTTTTACACATAGAAATAATGAGTGTATTTTCAAATCCATATAAGGATGTTTAGCAAGGAACTAGCTTTCTGCAGTAGAGTACTGAAAGGCCTCAAGTGCATAGTACTAACCTGCTAGTGTAATGGTGGTCCAGATAAGACAGTTACAGTACCTTTAAAGAGGAAGAGAAAGCATAGCTATCATTTTCCAAGCTTTGGAAAGGCGTATGATGAATCTTCCATTAAAACCACAAAAAACAATTTTCACTGCCACCATATTGTGATTGGGAAAATAACTGCCCAAATGAGTTTAAGCAATTAAGAAAAAATGTTTACAAAGTGGTGTGTCTCTCTTACCTATTTAAAAATTAACACTATCCCAGCCGAATCCAGGACATAAAGAAAGACTGGAAATGAAGAACCTTTCTAATCAGGTTCTTAAAACAGTTTTTAAAGTTCTGCCTGTTTCTAGACTCTGCTTTAGATAATCATAATGTGTTACTTAAAACTGAGTTAGTGGAACAAGCAGCAGTCAGACCAGTCCAGCTTAGATTGCATGGTAGTGCTGAGGAAGATGAAGGTGCCTACAAATCTGTTAACCCTAATATCAAACATCAAAAGAGTCAAGTGTTGCTCTGCAGCACAGCACATAAATTACTTTATAAGGGAATTCTCATGCCTCCTGATGGATCTATGAAAACTAGCAGACACTAATAGGCAGTAAAATAATTTCTCTAGAAGTTCACTTCTGCTGTTTGTTTGCATACCTCTCTGAGACAGAGGTGAAATTTGCTAGTATTTCCCCCTGAATCCTCCTCCCACGTATTGAAAACAATGAAATTCTACTTGAATTAGGACAACAGGAGAGGCAATTTAAAGGGGCCCTAAAGATTTAGTCTCTTAATCACAACAGTAACAAAATGCTGTTATCCTTGCTGGCAATTCCCTAGCAATTTACAGTACACTAGTGTAAACGGAGAAGACCTTGCATTGCAAAGAAACCTGACTAGATAACCAGGTTTCTGTTTCTGGAAATCTTCTGTTTCCCCTGTCACTGCACTGTTACACAAATCCTAGTGATCACCAGTTGCTCTGCCATCCTGAAGCCACTCGAGAGCTACATTTCGACCCTGACATTGAATCTAAAGTTATTTAGAAACTGAAGTCAGTGCAGACGTTGGCTTCTGAATAACCTATGTAATGAGGAGGGCATTTCAGTAGGACTGTGTGAATGCACACCAGCAGCCCCATTAGGCTGCAATAGCAACTTAAGACTTTTTACTATGGGGGCAACCTAAAATCGCTCTGGCTGAACTGTAGTTTGGGTTGCTACACAAAAGAGACTTCCTTCCTGCGTATAAGACAGAAGTTAAATTGTTGGGAAGGTTTTCCCTCCAAGGCCCTGGAACCCAAGGCTGTCCCAAGTCTAGCAGTGGTTTTTAGTGTATAAGAAAAGGAATATATAATTAGGAACTTGGGAAAGAGCTGAGGGACTTTAAAGAGAACTTTCCAAAGAAAGAAGACCTAAAGAAAGGGTTAGATTTTTTTCTTTTATGTCATTGCTGGGCTGATTTCCTGCTAAACAATTGCTCAAATATAAAAAGATTTTGTTGGACTGTCAATGGTAGGTTAAATAGAGTCAAATAAAGGTGTATTTTTATTATCTGCATATAAATGAAGGTAATTTAAAATGTAGGGTATAAACAGCTAGTGTAAAGGCCAAGAAAATACCCCAAGGACCAATCTGGTCTTCAAAAGATTGTGAAGTTTCTAACAACTCGTTAATTGCTGGTTTATCAGTAAATCCCAAACCCAAATCAGTGTTCCAAACCAAAAACCATAGAAATGCCAATCTCTGTTAAATACCATAAAGAAAACAAACCTCACATACTTGTGGATGATTTTTGAATTATTGTAATTCTTATGACTCCCATAGTCATAAGAATTCGTTGTATTTACTCTCTCTCAAATCAATCCCTACTTAGCCATTACCACTGCTGTTTTCAAACCTTGAATATTTGAATCTTAGTGTCCTTTCTAAGAGATGCTTAAATAGCTGGAAACTGCTAAAAAAATTTGGGTTTTAGTCTTTAATCTTTTAGCCAGATAAATCTTTTTAAAATGACAGTAGCTGTTAAGGCAAGACTCTTAAGGCATCTATTCCCATATTCCTTTAGGGTAAAAGCATTCTCAAAGAGGATTATCTATTTATTTTTCCTCTCTCTTCATGATCAGTTAATGGGAAAAGGCAGAAGAAATGTGAAGTGTAATTAGTTTATTTTAAAGCACATTGCTAAGTCAGCATAACTTTCCAGAATACCATATTTCTGCTGACAGCCTTTTTTACACAAGATCTT